TAAGAATCACATAAGGGCAAGGGGAAGGCAAATACTGAGAGTGAACAGACTATAACATATAACCAATAAGGAAATTAAAAGAAAAATTGAAGGGAAAGATACCATCAGAGAAATGTGTGATAAGGAGAGACTACAGGTTAGTCATGAGGAGTGGATAATGGGTGATGACTATCAGACATCCTGAGTGTTCCACTGGTATATTTGTGATTCATGAAAAAGAGAGGCAGGATTCCAGTGTGTTGTATGGACCCACTGTGTACAACTTGTGGGATGACATGAAGAAGCATACCAAAAAATGAGCAAACATGGATGGTTTGTCCTTTTCAATATGTGCCTACTACGTGCCAGGCACTGTGCCAAGCACTGGCGATACAAAAAAAAGAAAAGAAAAAGAAAGACAGTCCCTGCCCTCAGCGAGCTTACAATCTGGGGGCGGAGACAATACACAAAAAGAACCTGAAAGGTATCTGCTGCACGATTATGCTGTTCATGAAGTCAAAACAAAGCAGAACAGCTGAAGGCAAATGAAGAGCTGGCTGAAAAATTCTGAGCTCTTTATAAAGGGAGGTTTGGGGAGCAGTTTTTTGTTCCACCCTACATTCCTTCAATCAGAGGGGAGAGGCAACTGAGAGTCCTGAAGAGTTGTTGAGGAACAAAACTGAAGTAATCTCCATGATGATGAGATTCCTGGTGATGAGTTTATCCAGGCGAAAGCATGATGTTCTTGGAATCCAAACCAAACAGAGCATCTGCATTGTTCAAGAGAACATCTAAATTTACAAGACCACAGATCCACTTGAGTATTTGAACATAGTCTGTGAAAAAAATGTGTTTCATACATTTGCCTTTTTATATTCATTAATTTCTATTTAAAGTCTATTTAAAGGTATAATTGATGCTGAGAAAATGATATATTCTTTAATGTTCCCATTAGAAATCTTTCAAAACCAGCTTCTCAGATGGCCTCCATGTTCCTTTTTGTTGATCTTTTTGTTAGACTTATCCAGCTGGGAGGAAGGAAGAGTATTATTTTCTATAATAATTGTGGCATTCTATTTCTTTATAGCAATTTATTTAGGTTTTCCTATGTAAATTTTATTTGCTATGCCATTTCATGAATGCATATTTAATAATAATAGTGTTTCATTGTTTATGGTAACTTCAAGCATAAAGCAGGTCCATATTTCTCTTTTTTAACATTCTGTATGTTTTTGAGGCATTGTATGGCAGCATGATTATGACTGATGATTTTTTAAAACCTCCCAATAATGCAGTTTTAGTTATATTTCTTTTTGTATGCATCTTTAGTAAATGTATTTCTTTTATGCAGTGAATTATTCCTTTCTTTTTTTTATTCATTATGTCACTATTTCATTTAATTGGATGGTTTAATCCATTCACATTTAAAGTCACGATTCTTAACCTTGCTTTCACCATTTATTTCTTTTGTATTTATTTTGCCTTACTTCCTATTTTAATTCAGCACTTCATCCATAAAATTAGTTTAAGTAAAGGGTTTTTCTCTGGCCACAATCTGTGAATTTGATCAATCAGCATTTTTTTTTCATATTTGAAAGTTCTAGGCAATATTTCTTGTTTCCTGCAGTACTATGGTCAGATTTTTTATTTTATCTTTTTTTTTTTTTGGTTTTTTGTTTGTTTTTAGGAGGTGGAAGAGAGCTTTGATCCCTTATTTATATATCTTGTTTTCAAGGTCCGCCACATTGAATTATAGAAAATTCATATGTTCCTTCAAAGTTGTTTTTTGCTTCTCTTCTGTATAATTTTCTTTTATTTCTGAATTTTTAAACTCTATATGTTCCATTCTCTTTTGCATGACTTCTGCTATTTTAAGAGATTTTCTGTTGTGAGTTCTTGTCTTAGTAAAATATGCCTTGAGAGTTCTGCTTTCTGGCATATTTCCCATTCTACTTCTTTTAAAAGTTTTATTTCTCTTTTGAACTATTTTGTAGGATTTTTTCCTCTTCTTCCGTGATCTCTAAGCAGTCTAAAATTTCAATGGGTTTTTTTTTTTTTTGGCTTATTTCCCTGCATAGAATATTCGTTATTCATTGTGGATTTTTTAAAAATTGTTTATTTTTTCTTCACTGGTAAGTGGAGGGAGGGATGTCACACTAATTTATTTCCTTGTAATCTAGACTTATACCCAGCCCATCTCTCTCATACTTTTTGTTTTTCAGTCTTTCTCCTTCACAGATTCCTAAGGCTAAGGATACTCAGCATCCTTGAATCTGGAGTGTAGGGGCCCAGATGGTTTCCTCCCTAAAGCATATATATCTTCAGAAGAAAGGCCTGGCTAGATTTCTTCTATCCTCTCTCTTAGGTATGAAAGTTCCTTGTTTTCTAGCCAGCCATGAAAGCTTCAACTTCTGCACTCCTCCCCAATATACATACATTCAGATGTACTTCACCTTCACAGAGGTAGACAGAATTATTGACTTCTGCCTTTCATTTGGTGTGGGTTGCATAGACTGGGTCATTGCCTAGCAGAAACTGGTTAGAGGCCACCACAACTGAACCCCAAATTTCAATAAGATGAGATTATGCTGGGTGGATAGGTTGGGAGTGAGAAGGCTGAGTAGGATTTTTAAGTATTTAACTTCTCTGGTGTTATTTAATGGCACTTTTACCTTTGGGCAGGATTGGTCTTTTTGTCATGTTGATTCAACTGGAATTACTATTGATTTTGTGCATATTTCCTTCTTTTGATGCTATTAGGTTAGAGAAGATAATGCTGAAAATAACTCTGCAGTCATCTTGCCAATTATAAAACCAAGTCACAGAATTCTAATACTTTTTACCTTTGGGAAGTCTTAAAGAAAAACTTCATTTTTCTTACAGGTTTGTTCTGCTAAAATAAAACCAACAACGATAATTCTGGTTTGTCTGTTTGTTTTTTCAGTCTATCTTCAAATTGGATTTTGTTTGCCATGACAGTCAATTTTGCCAGGCACAAAGTTTTGGTCTAAGAATTATTTTTTCTAAAGATACATAATTGGGACATCAAGCAATCCATTTATCATGCCTTGAAGAGAGTTCTGGACACTTGGCTCCCTACATACTTTGCAGAGACATCCTTGCTTAAGTGCAGTTTCACCATATAAATAAAGTTTTGTTAACCAGAATACTTACTGGCCCATGACAGAATCATAGAAATAAAGTAACTTAGACAATTACTTGAAGTGTTACATGGCAGAATATCCATATCTAAGTGATGACTGGATGAAGAAAAACCAAACTGGTTTGCTCTAAAATTGACATTCTGAAGAAAGCGATTTTTTAATCAAATTTTAGGAGAGGAGACAGGTAGAGAGGAGGAGGTGGGAAGGAAATTATTGGCAGAAGAAAATAGTTCATTTACAGTTATGAATATAGGATTAAAAAGCAGGTTGGGGCACAGCAGGCCATTTTATTTGACTGAAGTAGAATCTATATTGTGGAGCAACGAGAAGCTAAGACGGGAGATCCTTCAGTGAACAGAATAGTGACATGATATTTAAGATAGTTTGGATTAAAGCAGGGAGACACAGAAGGTAGGGAAACTTGGGTAGGAGGCTATATTGCAGTTTTTGAAGTAAAAAATAATAGGGACCTGAACGAGGTTCATGCTTATAAAAAGAAAGTATCATTAAAAAAAAACTGACAAAAATTTGGTGATGGATATGTTATGGACAAAGGAAAGATATAAATGAAAAATGACTTTGAGGTTACAAGCCTAGGGAATACATAAGGTGGTGATGTCATAGACAATGATGGTGAAATTGGGGTGACTGGGTGGGGGAGGAGGGAACAGTAACTACACTTTTCAACATTTTAAGCCAAATATTCAGGAGCCATATCATGAAAAAATTATTAAAAGCAAGTATGTGGGATTTTCCCATAGTTATTCCTCTCATCCTCCTCCCTCCAAAAAACCCTCCAACAACAAAATATAAATTTGGCAGGATGAATCTATAAACCCAATTAAAGCTAAATGCAATGTTTAGTTAGAATACAGTTTTACTATTCCTATCAGCTCTTTGCACAGATTGTGAAGGGGTTTTTTTTTCTTTCTTTGATTTCAAAATTGTAGTTTTGGACACAGAGAACTACTTTCTTTTAAGTGGGTTTGATAGTGTATTTGGTTGTCAGGCCAGTGTATGCTTGTCAGCCAAGCCTGGTTTCTCAGTGTACTGAGTAGCTAACTGTTAAATTTATAAATGATAGTAAGTAATAGACTACGCTTTAATCCTGGACACATTTTATGAATTTTCCTTTTGACCGCTTATGTTAAGCATCTTCCCTTGAGATCTATCCTACTTATTTGGAGAATAATTTGTTCTGAGTTTATACTCTAACTGAATCAATCATGTATATTTTACCAGCTATCACCCTCCTGAACACATTTGAAAGGTTTTAACTAGTAAAGTCTTAACAACTGTGGCATTACTTCTAATTCTTTTTATCCAAATAAGCTTCTCAAGAGGGAATGTTTTATAGCAAACTTTTATCAGCATATTTTTTGCCTCTGCTAATGCTCTGGCTTGAAATGTTATGCATTCAGAATTGTTGTTTCCTTTCCAAAGCTAAAATTGCAAAGTTTTGTATCCATTTTGGTTCTGCTGGCCCAATAAGAGTGGGGGGAAGTCAATAAATCAGTTTAAAAGTGCCAGGATATATATATTTATCATGGTGGGGGAGGGGGGAACAGATCGAAAAAAAACAAAAAACCAAGGATGAAAGGGGGAGGTGCTGCAAAAGTAAAACCCAGTTGTTTAACTAGAAAACATTTGGCTAATGAAAGAATTCATTTTAGTGAATATTTTTGCCACTCAGGACCGTTTGTATCAATAAAAAAAGGAAGAAATCGATAAGAAAATAACATTTTCAGATGATTTCCTATAACAATGATACAGTTATAACCATTTTATTGTTAAGAATTACTCTGAGAAGGGTAAAGACTAGTTAGTGATGAGTCTTAATACTTAATTAATACTTACAGCAACTGCCTCCAGGATTTGTTTAACTGCCTGTGCTGCATCACGCTCACTGTAATAGCCTTTTTCCACAATTCTAAAAGAATTAAGGAAATAGATAGATTCAGATAGGAAGATATAGTCTGATGAACAGTTAACCAAAATATGTAACATTCAAATAGTTAGACTGGGTTATCATTTTCCCTGTGAATTAAGGAGTTTAAGCATAGAAATGTCTTTAGATCCCTGCTTACTTCAGGGGAATTGAAAATATTTCTTTTGCTTTGTCTTGGACTGTCAACCTGCTATTAAAAGCGCTTGGTGCTACAAACTTGCCTTTTATTTTCAGTCTTACTTGAGGTTTGTGTCATAGAGATACTACTGCTGCTGTTGCTGCTACTACTACTACTATTTTGGTAGATCCATATCATCAATACGGACACTTCATCCAATGGCAGACACTTGTCTATGTTTTTCAGTAAGTCTACAGGCAGTCTGCCTAATGTGCTTAGAGACAAAACTACTCTTACTGCTGCTGCTGCTACTACTACTTCCTCAAATTTCAAGTCTCTTTGATTTTTCAATGTAGGCATTTCTTTAATCAGTGTTAATTGAAACCATAGTTCTGGAGAGTAGCTGTGGTTGAGAAATCTGTTACCCTGAAACTAACCAATCTTATAATCAACTTCTTTAACACACGTAGAATTATTCTTGGGGAACAGACATCACCAGAGAGGAAAATAATTAGAAATATAATGGCTAGTACTAAATAATACATGAAGAGACCTATAGAATGAGCTATCAATATCCACAAAACTAATTCTGGATATCTATCTAGCTATCTCTACATCTACATATATATTTTATAATATTTAAAATTCAATTATTTTCTTTGGCCAATTTAACAACATTTAAAACATGGATAAAAGCCACAAAATAAACTATTTCAAAGAGTCAAGTGTATAAAATCACCTCTTATGTTCTTTTGGCTCAAGGTCAAATTCTGATACACCAAGGTCAAGTTCATTAGGGAAGGACATACATTGAATTGATTTTTGTAGTTTCCAAAAATCAACTAAATTCTTTTGTTTCACTTAAAAGACCATAGGCCACAGACTTTTCCAATTCCTGATAAATCTTAAGAGGGAGATTAATAAAGCATGAAATTAAAATGATCATACTGTGCATTCACTATAAATTATAAAACCAAAGAAACAAAATGTCGGGAAAAGGGAAAGATAAGGAAGATTTATTAGGTTAGAATGAGCTAAGCAATTCAACAACTGGAATATTGGGTGGAAGCATATTTTGCTCAAAGTTTTTAAATATATATATTTTAATGATGCCCTTTGCTTTTACATCATGGTCATTTCACCACCCCCACTGAATCTTCTCTGTGACGAACAAAAACAATAAAATAAAAATATCTGATAGTCTGTATCCGACAATGTAAATACTGTTCTGTCCTAGTCCACAACTTGCTGCCTTGAGGAGTTAATTGTGTTTCATTTTCTTCTCTAGGGAATCTTCACAGGTTTTTTTAATTACTCAGAGTTCAACTTCCTTTTAGTGATCTTTTTATTTACATTGTTGTAATTATTGTGTATACTGTTCTCTTTGTTCTGGTAATTTTGCCTTGTATCATTTCATATGTAGCATCCCATGTTTCTCCAAATTTCTCGGAGAAGTAAGTAGAACATTTTACAATTCAATCAAGAGAGCATCAGTATGCCTATTGTCCCAAAGTCCCTGCAAAACTCTTTTGTATCTTTTGTTCTTTGCTAATTTGTAAGGTATGAAATAGAAATCTGAATTTTCTTTTATATTTCTTTCACTATGACTAATTTGGAGTATACTCTCATATGGTAATTTATAGTTTGTAATTCTTTTTTTGAAAACTTCATATTCTCTTCATATTCTTATCTTTTGGGCAATGACATTTGTTGTTATATATAAATAGGAGTTTGATCAATGATTAACTGTTGGTTGATACTTGCTTCAATTCCTTGTGTATTTGTGTTATCCAACTTTTGTCAGTAATACTTGATGTAAATATTTACCCACTTTACTCTTTCTCTTCTAATTTTATCTTCATTGATTTTATTACTGTAAAAGCTTCTAAATTAATGTAGTCAAAATTGTCTATTATATGTTTGATGATGTCCTCTTTCTTTCGTTTAGTCAAGAATTCTCTCCTTAACCATAGTTGTGAAAGGTACCTGATCTTATTCTCTAATATTTTTTGTGTTTTGACTTCTTATTCTTGCATATTCATTTTGAGTTTATTATAGTTTAAAGGGTAAGCTCATAGTTTAAACTTAGCTTTGGTTAAAGTATTCAATCACTTATTGTCAAAAAATAAAAAATAAAGGACTCCTTTTCCCCAGTAATTTATGTTCTTGGATTTATCAAACACTGAGCTCTTAGATTCCATTGTTTTTTTAATTCTTGTTTATCTAGTCTTCTACAATGATCTACTCTTTTTTTTAACTGCCACGAAATCATTTTTGTAATATACCTTGATATCTTGTAAACGTGATGAACTGTTCACTCCTACTTTTTCTGATTTACTTTTTTTACATTTTAGGAATTTTTTCTTCCAAAAGAATTTGATTTTTTAAAAATTCTCCATGGGTGAGATCAGGGACTTCTGGTTGGGCTGACATATTTTGCACTCAGTGGGAAAGCTCATTCTCTCTGAGAATTGTCTGGTTTATATAAATGGATTTATCTGCTGTTCATTATTTGTAATGGGTTTTTTGGATGTGATATGCGTCAAGGCTTCAGATATGACTCTGAAGTACTTCTAGCAACCAGAAAATCAGTTTAAACCTAATGAAATAATTTCCCCTAGGGAAAATAGATATAATTCTAGTTTAATATTTCCATTCTTAGGAGAGCAGGGTGGCTAGTTTTGTAGTCACTTCTCCAGCTCCCCTTGATGCAGGAATCAAATTCTCCCTTGGAGAGCCACACATTTAGTCAAACTCAGGTGATATCTATATATATATACACACACATATATATACATATATGTATATATGTATATATATGTGTGTGTATACATATATACACACATATATATGTATAGATATATATCCCCTACACTTATAAATGAATCAAGTTTTTTTCATTGTTTTTTGGTTTTGCTTTAATAGTTCATTTATGACATTTCAGTATCTTTTTCTAACTAAGACAGTTTGTGGTTCCTTTATTAAGCCTCTTCCTGAACATTTCATTCCAAGATTATCTCACTCTTCTGCACTTTTTTCACCTTTTTTTTTAACTTCTCCTTGTTATTTAATCATATATTGCCTTGAACTGATGTCTTAAATAGGTATTTCCTCCAAGTGGAGTGCTAGGCTCATTACATCTCTTCCAACAGTAGATAATGCAATACAACATTCTTCTAATCTTCTTGGAACTAATGAACAGCACAGATATTCCCAGTTAATAGCCACAAGCATCTTGCATAAACACATTATACAAGAAAGAGGGGATGTGTCATGGTGAGAAAGAGAAATAAATAACTGGGGACAACCAGGCTTCAGAGGAGGTCCTTAAAAAAAAAAGATCTCTAAGAAGTGCAGTTAAAATGGCAGAGTACAGGCAGCTGAACTCTGTCAACATTTCCCTCCAAACAACTTTAAAATAATGTCTCAAATAAAATTTTGGAGTGACAGAGCCAACAAAAGATAAGGGGGAGACATTTTTCCAGCCTACCACAACTTAGGAGGTGGGCAGGAGAGGACTGTGAAGCCAGAGTGCAGGCTGGCCTGGTATGCTGCAGCAGCAGCGGTGAACCTTGACGGTGGCCATAAGAGCAGCAACAACAGCAGCAGCATTCAGGAGCTCTCAGCCCAGAAATGGTAAGGATGTAAGACAACTGGTCAGAAAGAAATTGTAAGACACCCTTTGCTGGCACTGGGTGCAGCTGATGCTGATTGACAACTCTATTGCCCATACGTAGTTCTGGGTCACATTTCCAGGGTGGAGAGAGGCACGTCTGGTTGGTGGCAAGGGCCCTGGTCACAGCTTAAAGGCAGAGAAGAATGCTAGAACTTATGGCTGCAGGAGAGCAGGGGACCTGCTCACAGTTCCAGGGTCAAGAGAAGTGCCAGCACTTGTGGCTACAGGGAAGCAAAGGGCCTTCCTGGGTAAAAACTAGAGCAACCACTCCTCTCCCCTGATCATACCACCTTGAAAGCACTGAAAACTTGCAGACCCCCAGAATTAGCTATGAAAACAGCAACATGAAAAAGCCTGAAGCCTGGGACAGTGCATCCCCACCCTCAGGTGAGCAGAACCTAACTTTAATGTGAAGCTCAAAATCAAGAAATAGACTTGGAAAATGAGCAAACAACAAAAAAAGAATTTGATCATTAAAAAGTCACTATGATAGCAGGGAAGACCAAGACATAAACTCAGAAAAAGACAACAATATGAAATCAGCTACAAGCAAAGATTCAAAGAAAAAATGCTAATTGGACCCAAGAACAACAAAAATTCCTGGAAGGATTTTGTTGTTGTAGTTGTAGTTGCTTTGTTTTTTTAGAGAAAGAAAGAGATGAATAGTAGAGGGGAAAAAATGGGGAAATAAATGAGAGAGATGCAGAAAAATTATGAAAAGAGAGTCAACAACATGGTAAAAAGGTACCAAAAATGCGGAAGAAAATAATACTTTAAAAAATAGAATCTCAAAAAAAAAAATGGAGTGAGAAAGCACTGGGAGGAGAAAAGAAGAGGTAGAAAGGAGGAAAGGAGAGGAAATTTATCTCGTATAAAAGAGGCGTACAAAGAAGAGCTTTAAAATGGAGAGGGGAGGGGCAGCTAGGTGGTGCAGTGGATAGAGCACCAGCCCTGAAATCAGGAGGACCTAAGTTCAAATCCGGCCTCAGGTCAAACACTTGACACTTACAAGCTGTGTGACCCTGGGCAAGTCACTTAACCCCAAATGCCTAAAAAGTAATAAATAAACAAACAAATAAAATAAAACAAAATAAAAACTATACTTGAATCTCACTCTCATTGGAATTGGTTTAAAGAAGGAAGAATATATATACATACTCATTTGGGTATAGAAATATATCTTACCCA